GGGTATATAGAAAGCTCCCCCTCACCCCTGCATTTCATTACCACATTATTTAAGGCCTGTTTAAGGTAGCTCCTTTTACCCAGGTTTTACCATCAAAGAAAAGAAAAAAAATTGCAAGGCATACCAAAATCAAAACAAAAAGAAAAAAGAAAAATCCACAGTTTGAAGAAGCAGAGTAAGTAAGCATCAGAACCATCAGAATGTATGGAATCAGAATTCCATACATTGGGAATATTGGAATTACCAGACTGGGAATTTAAAACAAATGTTATGGATGTGCTAATAGATAAAGTAGACAACATGCAAGAACAGATGGACAATGTAAGCAAAGAGATGGAAATCCTAAGAAAGCACCAAAAGGGTAATGCAATAGATCCAAAACACTGAAACGGAAATGAAGGATGCCTCTGATGGGCTCGTTGGTACCCTGGATGTGGCTGAAGAAAGAATATGTGAACTTAAGGATACCTCAAATATTAACAGAAACCTTCAAAATTGAAAAACAAAGAGAACAAAATCTGAAAAAAGAAAAGAGAGAGAATATGCAAAGTCTGTGGGACTGCTACAAAATGTATAACATATATGTATGGTGAGAATTTCAGGAGGAGAAAGAAAGGAACAGAAGAAACATCTGGAATGATAATGAACCTAACCATAGTCAAAGAGCATTCCCTGCCCCAGGGAAATTGCCCCAGAAGTATTTTAGAATAGCCATGGGCCAAGTCCCACTATGTGATTTTGTTTCTCTTCTTTTTTAATTGGTGTGTCTGTCACAATTAACTGATCAGAGTCTCATCATTGTACATTGGGTGTGTGGAGAGTAGAACAGATGATGTCTTTTGATTCATATGAAGAAGATCTGCGCCCAAAGAACCACCCACACATGCATACACATACATCTGTGGAGCTGGTACAGAAGAAAAGACCCTGGACTTCTAGCCAAATAGTTGAGAATTTGAGAATCTTGAAATTTAGTGGGCATATTTTCCATGCAGGAAGACTGTAAATAATTGTATCCAGAGAGTGAACAGAGATAGATTGGAAATCACAACCAGAATATATTACATCTTCTTCAAATAAAAACTGAACATTTTCCCAACCCCATGGATCTTGGAAATTGCTTTGAGCAATAAAATTTGGTTACAGGGTTGTGTGAGGTCCAGAGACCTGTGTGAGTTAGCAGGGTTCCAGTTTTCATTCCACTGTACTGGGATATAGTTCCTGTGTAAAGAAGTTCAAACTATAGTAGGTTTCCAACCTGTTAGATTTTTATATAATATAAATTATTTTGCATATGATAGTTGATAAACAGTATCTCAATGTAATTTAACAGCTTATTTTTTTGGCTGCACCATGTAGTTTATGTGATCTTAGTTTCCCAACCAGGGATCAAACTTTGGGCCACTACAGTGAAAGCACCAAGTCCTAACCACTGACCCACCAGGGAATTCCCTAATACATTTTCTTATTAAACTTTGAACATTTTTATATAGCTTGTTCCTATTTGCATCATGCAAAATGCCAAGCTGGAATCAAGATTTCTAGGAGAAATATGATAACCTCAGATATTCAGATGACACCACCCTTACAGCAGAAAGTGAAGAGGAACTAAAGAGCCTCTTGATGAGGTGAAAGAGGAGAGTAAAAGGCTGGCTTAAAACTCAACATTCAAAAAAACTAAGATCATGGCATCCGGTCTCATCACTTAATGGCAAATAGTTGGGGAAACAATGGAAACAGTGACAGACTTTATTTTCTTTGGCTCCAAGATCAGTGCAGATGGTGACTGCAGCCATGAAATTAAAAGACACTTGCTCCTTGGAAGAAAAGCTATGACAAACCTAAGCAGTGTTTTAAAAAACAGAGACATCACTTTGCTGACAAAGGTCCATATAGTCAAAGTTATGGTTTTTCCTGTAGTAGTGTACAGATGTGAGTGTTGGACCATAAAAAAGGCTGAGAGCTGAAGAATTGATGCTTTCAAACCCTTGAGAGTCCCTTAGACAGCAAGGAGATCAAAACAGTCAATCCTAAAGGAAATCAGGCCTGAATATTCATTGGAAGGACTGATGCTGAAGCTCCAATACTTTAGCCACCTGATGCAAAGAGCCAACTCATTGGAAAACCCTGATGCTGGGAAAGATTGAAGGTAGGAGGAGAACGGGGCAACAGAGGATGAGATGGTTGGATGGCATCACTGACTCAATGGACATAACTCTGAACAAGCTCTGGGAGATAGTAAAGCACAGGGAAGCCTGGCGTACTGCAGTCCAAAGGGTCACAAAGAGTCTGAAACAACTTANCGACTGAGTGACTTCACTTCATTTTAGAAATTCATTTTTTATATACTTTATTTCCATGTGCAATTAAGCCTATTCCTTGATTTTTAATTTTTTAATTGTTTTTATATTAATTCATCTATATCAAATTGTTTTATTTATGGCATGTTTATAGCATGGTTTCATGCACTCTAGAACTCATCCTCTCCCATTGCTCTACTTTTTAAAATGTTTCCCTGGCTCCTCTTGCATGTTTGCATTTTTTTTTCCAAAAGAATTTTGTAGTCAGTTTATCTAGATCAAAGAGGCCTGATGTGATTTATATTTAAATTACATTAACTCTATAAATTCATTTAAGGTGAACTGACATCTTTATGATGTATATTCTAATTCAAGATCATGGTGTATGTTTCCATTTGTTCAAGTCTATATTTAAGTCTTGTAGGAGGGCTTTGGAGAAGGCAATGGCACCCCACTCCAGTACTCTTGCCTGGAAAATCCCATCGATGGCGGAGACTAGTAGGCTGCAGTCCATGAGGTCGCTAAGAGTCGGACATGGCTGAGCGACTTCACTTTCACCTTTCACTTTCATGCATTGGAGAAGGAAATGGCAACCCACTGCAGTGTTCTTGCCTGGAGAATCCCAGGGACAGGGGAGCTTGATTGGCTTCCGTTTATGGGGTCGCACAGAGTCGGATATGACTGAAGCGACTTAGCAGCAGCAGGAGGGCTTTAAACTTTTCCTCACATAGGTTCTGAACACTTCCTTTAAGAGTATGAATTTTTCTGGTCTCAAACAGGGAAACACATTCTCATTGATTTTTCAATGAACTGAGAGATAATATTTGTAGCCCCAAAGCCAAATAATAGATCCTATTTGTCTTATCTTTGCTGTGGCCCAAGATAAGGATTCTCACTTACATTTTTCCCATCATATTCACTCCATATACATAGAGCACTTAAGAATAATAATGACACTTTATGATCCATCTTTAACTCTGGACAAAATGTGTTGAATGTTCTAATAATTCCCATTGGAACTTGAACATGTGTTAATTCCCCCAGGGAGTAGATGGTTCTTTTCATGCCATAAAATTTATTGAATCCATTCATATCAATACAGATGTTATAAATACAAACATCTCAAAGATTGTTGAGCCTCTTTTATCCAGAAATTAGGCAGAGGATTGATCTGAGGTCACTCTGGAGTGGTTGCCATTGCTTTCAGGGACTAGTTGAGTACCGGAAGGTTAATATGTCTGGGGAAAGGATCCTAAAACCATCTAGATCAACCCACTTCATCATTATCATATGAAGAATCAGAGGCACCCATTACTGCAGTGAATTATCTAATCTTACATATCTAGGACAAGATTTGAATCCACATTTTCTCAATCCCAGTTCACTGCTCTTTCTGCTACACCACTATAAGTGTAAGCTGTGCTGGAGGCATCCTTTTCAATATCAGCTATGTGGGTGCAGAATCAAACCTAGTTTCTGAAATGGGTAAAGTCAGAACCATGTGGAGTTAGAGAAAGGGTACCTAACATCAAAACAGAAAGTCAAGATTATGAGTACTTGCATGTGTAGATTGGCTTAGTCTTGGAACAATTTATTTAGAATACATACTTACAGCAGAGCTTTGAGAAAGAAAAGAGAAGAGAAAAACTTGGCTTGATGACAAGACGAAAGGGCTTTGATATGAATTCTAGGTATACATCATTTCAATTGACTTTCAGTGTATTTTGTAATGTCTTCTTAGATCTCAGGAGGATTTCCCTAAGCAGTCTAGTTTTAATGTTTACAGCATGTTGTTTTATATAACTTATTCTAGGTTCTCCATTATCTTTCTCTGTCTCTACATGAATCTATTTCCTATTTTTTCTAAGTGAACTCTAGAAATAGGAAGTTTCCTGCTGCAAACCGCTTTGGTGAAAATCTGTAAAATCCAGCAGTTAAAAAATATCTGACTTCAGGCAGCAGAGTGTTTAACAGAGATTTTATATTTAACGTATACTTGGAAATATATGAAGGCTTCAGGCTTTAACCATATCATGTTCATGAGCCTTTGAGGTGTATGGCATTGGTGGCATAGAACAGGATCATAGATGCCTGCATAACTGAAATGGAGAACTAAGAATAAGAGGCTATTTCATTTTTATTCTGAACCATGGCTAATAGAAAATTGAAACAGACTGTTTCTCTGTATCCATTTTTTTTCAGGTTGTATTTCCTTACCCCACTCATTGCAAGAAACCAGTGCCTACTCTCTTTGCTTCATTGTGTTCCCACTAATAATCAATCACAATTTTCAAACATTGTTCACTCCAGTCTTTCTCTGGCGTCATGATGTTTTGAAGAAGGTTGCCATTCCTTTCCCATTCAAAACTTGGCAGCTACCTGTATGGTTTTTTTAAGTGTTTCACAAACTAAGGAGTAATATTCAAGTAACTTAATTTTAATTTCTTTTATAAAGATTGGCATCGTACTTTAAGCAAATTGTAAAATCATAAGAATTAACCTGAACTGATATTTTAATTAGTTACTTAAAGTATCTGAAAAGGTCATGGGGGAAATATTTGAATAATGTGAACAGAAGAATGATACAACAGAAAACTATTATCTGGTGGTGGGCAACCCCTATATTATTTCATGCAGAAAAATCTCACTTTGTGTTTAATCACTGTATTTTTCCTCATTCTCCTCCATTTGGAAGTGCCAGAGTCCTTCCTGAAATCAAACTAAATGGCCTGGAATAATCAGTCAGTCATAACTGAATTCATACTACAAGGTCTTTCCAGTTCCTGGGAACTCCAGATGGTCTATTTCCTGTTCTTCTCTGTAGTCTATGCAGCCACTGTGCTGGGGAACCTCCTCATCGTGCTCACCATTGTGTCAGATCCACGCCTGCACTCCCCCATGTACCTTCTGCTGGGCAACCTCTCCTTCATTGACATATCTCTGGCCTCATTTGCCACTCCCAAAATGATTGCAGATTTCTTCAGGGAGCCCAAAGTCATCTCTTTTGAAGGCTGCATCACCCAGATATTCTTCCTGCATCTCTTAGGGGGTGCTGAAATTGTGCTGCTGATAGCCATGTCTTTTGATAGATATGTGGCTATCTGTAAGCCTTTACGCTATTTAACCATCATGAACCGGAGAATGTGCCTTGGGCTTGTGACACTCTCCTGGGTTGTCGGCATCTTCCATACTATGAGTCAGCTAGCATTTACTGTGAATCTGCCCTTTTGTGGGCCCAATGAAGTGGACAGTTTCTTTTGTGATCTTCCCTTAGTGATTAAACTTGCCTGCGTGGACACATACATCCTCGGAGTGTTCATGATCTCAACCAGCGGCATGATTGCCCTAGTGTGCTTCATTCTCTTGGTGATTTCCTACTCTGTCATCCTGATCACTGTTAGGCAACGTTCTTCTGGTGGGTCCTCCAAAGCTCTCTCCACCTGCAGTGCCCACTTCACTGTTGTGACCCTTTTCTTTGGCCCATGCATTTTCATTTACGTGTGGCCTTTCACAAATTTCCCAATAGACAAAGTTCTCTCAGTATTTTATACCATTTTCACTCCCCTCTTAAATCCAGTCATCTATACCCTTAGAAATAAGGATGTCAAGAATTCCATGAGAAAACTTAGCAGCCGTGTCTTTAAGTCTAGCCAGACTGATCATACCCCTTGATTTGCTTTTGCTCATACAAAAATGAGCATTTATCCCCCTCTCTTTGTTGGTCAACAATGTCATGCTAGCTCAAGAAATCATATAGTTCATGGCAGAACTATTTTCATCATTAGTCTCATCAGTTACTGAGTTTTGGTCATATTAAGAGTTCCTCACACAGCATAATATTTACAATGGAACATTATCAAACCAATATCTGAAATTTTACCTCACAAGGACTCACTTTTTAGAATATTCAACTCTTGTCAGATGTAAGTGTTTATTTGAGTATTAAGACATTCACATGATTTAGGAAAGAGTGGATTTCCTTCCAGACTCTTATGATTAAGAAAAGGAGCAAACGTGAATGTACCAACACTTGTACACTGAAGTAACAGTGGAATTTTTTATTGTTGATGAATAACATATTTTAGTTCAAAGGTCAGAAAAAATACTGCAGTTTCTTGGTAAGTGAAGATGTTTGCTATTTAATATTGTAATCTATCTTCAATAAGAATAAGAATGTTCTTTATTTCAGTCCCTTTGCCCTCTAGTGTGGATTAAACAATTTTAAAACAGTACAGTAAACACTAAGAAAATTCTTTTAGTCATATTCATATAGAAAGATTCCAGAATCATATGTACCAAATCCCATACACATTCCTGATCTACAGAAGATGAAACTAAGATCCAAGGACATGGTAACTTTTCAAGGTCATGTTTTTTAAGGCAGAATTTAGATCATTCAGGTTTCCCTGGTGGTTCAGTAGGTGAATAATCTGCCTGCACTGCAAGAGACCTAGGTTCGATCACTGGGTCAGGAAGATCCCCTGGAGAAGTAAATGGCAACTCATTCCAGTATTCTTTCGGGGGAAACTCATGGACAGAGGAGCCTGGCAGGCTACAGTCCATGGGGTCGTGAAAAGTTGGACATGACTGAGTCACTAACACTTTCACTTTCTTCCTTTAGATCATTCACCTACAAACTGTTTGTTTCCTAACCAGTAAGCTATTTTGGTGCCATGATATTTACTGTATCATTTTGTAATCAAATGCCATATTGTAAACATTAAGGTCCTAAAAGATCTGAGCCATTTTCCTTATGCTTAAATTCAGTATTTGACTTAAGAAATCTATGAAACAATGCTCCTTCAACTTAGTTGATATAGCTAATAACTAGAGACTTCAGAACATAGAAATAACCTAGTAATATCTATTCATTTTACTGATGATGAAACTGAGAATCAGGAAATGATTTTCCCAAGTTTGTATACCTTTAAGATGATAGAGTCCTACCAAGAAAGTGCCCCTTCTCTTTATGTCTCTCTTCTCTATCAATTAGACAGCAGTTAAATTACCTTTAAGAGCAATTTGGCTATTGTCATTCTGAGAGTTATACATAAGAAAAATGTTAATGCTTAAAAGTAAATACTTGCAATCATTTATAGTTTGTTTTCCAATTATCCAGTTGGCTGGCATTGTCAAAATTTGCCTAATATTGTATGTAACATTATATAGCTTGGGTTTGGATAAGGACAAATGTATATATTGATTGATAGATAAATAGATTGTAAAGAGTTGAATATAAAGGTAAATAAATTATTAGGTGAATGGATGGGCGAATAGACGGATATGTGTGTATGGGTGGGTAGATGTATAGCAAGGTATACATGAATAGAAATGTCAAAATACTTAATATTGTTCAAGAAAATTAAATTTATACATAAAACAAAGTTGAGATTTGTGTTAGACTGGATGAGTGTCAAGCAATGAGCCATCGGCAGCAAACTAGTTTCTTGGTCTCAAAATCCCTTTAGATGTATTTTTCTCCCAGCAGAGAAGCCACTGCTCCTATTCAAAAACCACACTTTATAGTATTACTGTCAGAATTTAAGCAGATAAAATAGCATGTGAAAACAACCCAACAGAATAGAATCTGGCACACTAGAGAAAAAGAAAAGTTAGTGTTCAAGAGGGAGAGGAATGCAAAATGGAACTGAAGACATAATCAGGATCCAGATGATTCATATCCTACTATACACTGTAATTGTTGCATATCCCCCAACCACATTGGTTTTTCTTCTGTAACCCATTTAATGAAGCATGTTATATTATAAGCTTTTGGGAATAAATATTTGAGAATAAGTCCATATATTTGATCTTCATAAACAGTGGAATAACAATGTCAAAATCAACATCACCATTGGGGAGATAAGTGCTAAGTGGTATATGCTTCACCAGGGATGTCCAGATTTCTTCTGTAATCCTTCTTGCTTCCCTCCAGGTATTATCTGACCTTAATGTAAAGACTTCACCAACTTCTGTGTCATTCCTTCAATGAACATGCACCAACATGCCATTCAGAGAGGCAGGTCTTTTCAAGGTATGGGAGCTAAAGAGATTCTGGGAAATAGCTTCAAGGTGCAGGGTGATGAAAAAAGAAGATAATAAAGAAAGAAAAGGGAGCCTTCTTTCCAGAAATTGCTGGGCCAACTTACTAGTCATTGGCAAGTCAACTCACCACACAACATAAAGTTCAGTATGCATGTCAAATAAGAAGATTCAAAGATACAGGAGAGATTGGAAAGAGATAAGAAAAACCAGGATATCTTTTCTTCTGCATCTACAACAAAGTATTCAAGCACAGACTGTATATTTTACACATCCTTTTATATACCAAAATAGGTGAAAATAAGTAAACTTACATCAAATCACTTGATAAAACTGTAAAAATTTGTCAAAAAAGAAACTGTATAAAAATTGGCCTGATGCTTCCAGCCTTCCCTCAGTTACCCAGTGCTTCCCCATTGTCTCTGCAATATATATCTAGCATCCCAGAGTTGATAAAAAATTATAATCAATAGATCTAAGAAAGATATGGAACATTTTACCTTAGTTAAATTGAGAATTATAATCTTAATGTGTGTGCATGTCTGTCTGTGTGTGTGTGTGTGTGAGTCACTCAGTCATATCTGACTCTTTGCAACCCCATGGACTGTAGCTCACCAGGCTCCTCTGTCCATGGAATTCTCCAGGCAAGAATACTGGAGTGGGTTGCCATTCCCTTCTCCAGGATATCTTCCCAACCTGGAGTCAAACCGTGGTCTCCCATATAAACCCTTATAGCATCTCAGAAATCTTTGAGAACTGTTCTACTTGACCTCTGTTCCATTAGAAGTGAAGGAACAGTTACATAAGTTTTTTTGAGACAGTGTGCTGTACATTAAATGATACACTACTGACAATTTACACAATCCAGATCTATGTGCCATCATGTGTGTGTGTGTGCGCTCAGTCATGTCTGATTCTTTGTGACCCCATGGACTGTAGTTCACAGGCTCCTCTGTCCATGGGATTTCCCAGGCAAGAATACTGGAGTGGGTTGCCATTTCCTTCTCCAGGGCATCTTCCTGACCCAGGGACTGAACCCACATCTCCTATGTCTGCTGCATTGGTAGGTGGATACTTTACCACTGAGCCAATGGGGAAGCCCATGTGATCATGACCCCTTACAAGATCAAGAAGGAATGTTATCTTTTATGGAGTTGTACTGTTGATTCTAGGAGAATGTTGCTGCTTATGGTTGAGCAGACATTTCTGCTATTGGGGGAGGTTTGGTCAATGTGCGATGCAGATACACAATGCAAGTAAGTAAGGAGACCAAAGAGCAAAGAAATTTTTTAATGTTTTTTCATAGTTTTGTTGCCTTGACACAGAATGTGAATTTTATTTCACACCAAGAATAGTTGGATGGCGTCACCGACTCAATGGACATGAGTTTGAGTAACTCCGGGAGTTGGTGATGGACTGGGAGGCCTGGTACACTGCAGTCCATGGAGTTGCAAAGAGTCAGACATGATTGAGTGACTGAACTGAACTGAAGCTCTGGCTACTTTCTATCAACACAATCTTTTTCCACAACCACTAACATTACACCTTGTTCTCTAGAAATAGTAAACCACATTTAGCTCCTCAGTTCCCTGGAAATTTTTTAAATTAAATTAAAAAAATATATATTTGGCCATGCTGTGTGGCATGTGGGATCCTAGTTCCCTTACTATGGACTGAACCCACCCCCCCTGCATTGAAAATGTAGAGTCTTAATTACTAGACCACCAGGGAAGTCTCCCCGCTAGGCATATTTATGCTTTTCTGCCTTTGCTTATGCTATTCCTTCCTTCTGACATACTTTCTTGCAACTTGGCTTTGAAATTGCAGATTCAGCACTACCTCTGCAAACCATTCTCTGACTCTGTGGGCATGTTTGGACATGTTTTTTCTAAGTCCCCATATTACTGTATACAAACTTACATCAGGGCAATTATGACATTCCATTGCAATCACCTGTGTTTGTAATAGGTATAATCTCTTCTAGGTTAGGAATTATGTCTTATTGTTTCTGTTTCCAAAGGCATAGCACATAGACTCTGATTAAAAAAAAAAGTTAAAAGACATTTCTTGGATTATCTTTGCCGAGAGAAAAGATTAGGGTGTTACCTGTTTGACAAAAGCAGAAAATCTTACTTATGATAATGCCATGTCTTCTCCAGAGACAAATGCTGAACTACTTCCACAAGAGGCCAATCCTATTCTCCTACAATCAAAGGTACACTTGGAAGAACTAATACAGCTCTTCAATGTACAGTGAAATGCAAATGGCTAAAAGCAGACTTCCACTGAAACGCAGTCAAAAGAATGAGAATCAGGACACAGAGAAAGGCATTTTTAAAAGAAGAAATATATAAGATTTTCTGATATTTCCAATTTGGTTTAAATCCTCGTGAAAGAGTAGTTTGCTGGAATATCAGTGTTCCTCAGTGATTCAATAAATGCTATGTTGAGAGTAAGCCATCAAATTTCGTGGCAAAGTTGGATTATGTTAAAGTGTGAGTTAGAGCTGGAAAATCAGTTATAGGTATGGAATGAAAAAGGTGTATTACACATTTCAAAGTCTTTTTTAAAGATCCCAAACTGCTGGGGATAATACACATGAATTGAATGACTTGGTACAAGATAAAACA